AAGGGGCTGTCTCCCCTAACCCCCATCATAGTGCTGCAGCTGTGACTTTTGCACCTCCTGTGGTACCTGGAACGGTGCCGAAAAGATCAACGCCCCGAGCCGACGAAAGCAAGAGCCAGGTTCGCAGATGGCCACATACCGAACGAGAGACACCTGACAAGAAAGGCATAGCTGCGAGCCACGGAGACCCTGAGTTCAACCCAGGATCAGACTCCGAGTCCCCTGAATCCGAGCCAGATTTATATCCTCTGCTTCCAGACTCTGACTCTTCGTCTGCCGGGTCGGTCTGCTCAGCTCATCAGCAACTACTCACTGGCCTTGGAGACACTCAGCTGCAGCAATTGATGAAAAAGCTTGAAGCCCTCGAGACTCAGATTGAGACATCTCCATCGGCGCCTCCACCTTATCCTCCGTAAAACCCCTTCCTTAAAGAAGGCAAACAGGGGGAGGGGGTGGGAGAGGTATCGGGGGGCACAAATCCTGCACACTGTTGGCACGGGTTAATCAAAGATGCGATTATTAATGGTGAATTTTCTGCAATGGGCCTCTCTGCATATCCTGTGTTTACTACACAGCAGGGGGTTAAAGAGTGGGAAGCTTTTGATCTCAAAATAGTTAAGGAGGCCTGACAAGCAGTGACCACATATGGGTTAAAATCCTCTTATGATTTTTTTTGCGATTGACAGGAGACTTTAATGATGCCCCTGCTATAATACATGGTCAGGCATTAGGTTCAGGTTATATGACTAAAACTCCGGGTATTCTGGTCCAGTACAAGGATTTGGAAACCAGCATTTGGAAAGGTCCTGTGGAAGTAAAACTAACTGGTCGAGGTTATATGTGTGTAAATTACAGATTCTGGTGTGCAGTGGGTGCCAGCTCGATGGGTGAAACCCTGGAAAGAGTCAGCATCACCCCAGGACATCCCCCTTGTCAGTGATTGAATGAATTGAAATTTGAGCTCAGGACATCCGTTTTATGGATGTTTTCAGTCCTTCTTAAAGTGAAGTGAGCAACCCTTTTTATGTTAAAAAAAAAAACACCACCCCCCCACCCCCGAACCTCCAGGGAAGCGAGATCAGCGCGGCATACAGATGTATTGTGTGATTTTCTGGTGGTGGGGAGGTCTCTCTTATGCTCTTATCAGGGGTATTGGGCATACTGTGACGGACCATGGACTTGGGGTCCCTTATACAACTCATTTAATACAGTTTCTCTGTGATACTCCTGTACTAGATGTTGGTAAATATAAGTATGTCCAGGTTTCTATCAACCCTTGGAGACCTCTGTAGATACTGCTGGCCACTTCTTCGAGCACAGGCTGGCCACCTGTGTCGGAATGAGTGTGCATTTTGGTCAGTATAAAAGCCCAAGCCTCATACGATGTGGGGGAGGCAGAGCCTCTGCGGGGATGCCCGCTAAGGTTGAGCCTGCCACCTCGCACTGCAATGATGCTTCTCGGAGCTGGTTTCCTGTTAGTCTCCACAAGGTCCTTGTGCCACGTTCTGTACGTGGGACTGTACTGTGAGTAATGGTTGTCTGGATTTTGTGCTTCAAATACTGTAGTTGTGTGGAGTGTGCTTGTGGGATCCCATACGTGTGGGTGTGTGTTGAGGGCAGGTGGTGTTCTGTGTATTGTTTGTTGTTGGCTTCATGTGAAAGTTTTTAACCGGTAGCAGTTTAACATTTCGGGCAAGAAAGGGTTAATACAGAAATGCAGTTGCCGGCAGGTATTTATGGTTGCTGCTGAAGCAGGCAGGCAGCTATAGCTGCTGCCGAGCAGGCCAGTGTTCGTAGCTGTGCAAAGCAGGGTGAGCGACTTTTGGGGGAAAAAAAAAAAAAAAAATAAAAAATGCTGACCTCCGATTCAGCTCCCGGTGCTCCACCAGTGGAACGGCCAGGATGGACACCAGAGCCGAGGAGTGAGGGGAAAAAAAAAAAAACAAACAAAAAACAAACCAAGAAAACAAACAAAAACCCAAAAGCCAACCTCTCAATCTACTGAGGTATTGAGGCAGTTTGTAGAGACACCACAGACAAAGCCTAAAGAGCACCTGCAACACAGTGCAGGTGCATGGTAGGAGCCTTGCTTAGTATGTTTAAGGTAACCTGGGGGTGAATCCAAGACCTGGAGGAATAAATAGATCGGAGGAAATAAGAACTGCTAACTGAGAAAGTGAGAGGGGTAGTGCAACCACGAGCTTTATGAGCCGTCACGTAAGCAGCATCAGGGTGGCAGAAAAGCAAAAAAAAAAGAAAACAAAAAAAAGAGGCAATGATGCAGCAAACTCCTTGACTGTTAACCATGTGCAGTTTAACCTGTCTACTTCTCAAGAACTGATAACCTGGAGGAGGGGTATATTTGTGTCCTCCTGCCTACAGGTCCATGGCGACTGCCTGCAAAGTTTGTCAAGCCTTGCCATAAGCTCGACAAGACAAATAGAAAAACCTGATGTCTCGGCTACAGGAGCTGACCGTGAATACCCCAAGCAGAATGAGATAGAGGAAGAGAAAAACGAATGACTGCAAAACATCACTTGGGGGCAACTGAAAAGTAACATCCTGAATATGTGTGCTTGTAAAGTAGCTATTATTAGAGGCTGTGATTTTGTGTATAAAACCACCTGTACTTACTAGCTAGTTGTTAATAAGAAACTGCACCTTGTATTGTATAGATTTGTTACTTGTAAAAGAGATGTTAGAGTATGCAAATTTGCAGTAGCTGCTAGAAAATGCTAAGGCAAAAGATAGAAAGATTTTAATACAATGGTAGTGTTATAAAGCAGGTGATGGAACAAATTAAGAGGGTGGGAGAATTCCACTGGTAAGAAATTTCTTTGGCTAGTCCCTCGCTGCCATCAGCATGTTCAACATGCTGCTGCACCCTGTAATAGTTACTCTGCTCATGTAAATTTGTGTGTGCCTTGCTGTAGTAGCGACTTGTTACTGGATGAAGCAGGTGAAACTGTGCATTGACAACAAGGTGCAAGGACTGAGGCTGACCAAATGACTGCTACCACAGTCAAGGGCAAGACTGGGTTGGCCTCTGTGTTTGTCACCAAGAAGAACTTTTAGCTCCGCTGTTGGCTGCAACCCAGCAGGTGTGGAGCGGTTGGGACACATGCCGTGCCAGACCTTGATGTGAAGGATGGCCTCCCCTGTTGTCAGAGAGCCATACAGCAGAAAAAAGGGGCAGACCCAGCAGCCTATAGTCAGCATATACTGGAGATATGATCTAGCCCAAATCCCCTGCTCAAGTAGGGCCACCCAAACCATATATAAAACAAAAAGGGGGAGATGTGGAGACAGTGTTCTCACGGGAGAATGCATAGTTAGTACATAAACTCTGAATAATCCTGAAAGATACAGCAAGGCCATGAGAGGCCCAAAGAAGCTTAAGCAAGCAAGATAAGAAGAAGCTGGAATTCACTGATGTAATGAGAACTGTGGACTGTTGGCAAGCTTTCCAGGTCAAGTTCTCACACCTGTGCTTAACCAATTATGTTAGTCACTAAGGGTCTTCAAGACATGTATCCAATCATAATATGCCAAATCACTGTAAGTGCATGTAAGAAATTGTATATGAGGAGTTAAGGCTTTGTAATAAATTTGGCAATCGCTTGATCACGTTGATCATCTCTGCATTGTCCGTGACTCCCGCGTCAACAAGGGCACAACTCATACAGCATAATCTCTGCACCAGCAGGAAAACAGATTTGTCTTTTCCCCAGGTTCAAAGAGAATCCTATGCTTATGTTCCCTCTTTTTATTTAATGAGTCATTTCTGGCTCTTCTGCGATACACGACTTTAACACTGGGAAAGGACAGCATTGATACCTTTGACATTAAGAACACTTTTAGCAGGGTTTTTAACTTAACCAGTAAAATCTTACTGTCACAAAAACAGAGATGACAAACCTGGATTTTAGACTGCCTTTCAGATCACCGTCTCAGCAAAATTTTTATAGTGTTAGTGACATCTGTCTTTCTATCAAGACATAACCTGGTACAGCGATCCATGAAACTGCCAGTGCGTGCTGGCAGCATGCCTGCTCAAGAGGGCTGCACTCACAGTGCCCTGAGGACAGAGATTCCCATTCTTCTGTCTTCAGTCTAGGGGATTCACCGATGACAACAGCAAACTTAAATTTGGATGTTTTAATCTAAGGAAAGGAAAGTTGGAGTAGGAACTGCTGTGTGATAATAAAATACAAATATGTCCCAGCAATTTGAGAGAAGTTGGAAAGAGGAACATGGGGAATTTCACTATTGAAAACTCCATGGTCTAAACTGCACTTTAAGTAAACTAAACTAAATTGTATCCAATGATCAGGCAATCACCAGTTTAGTTTTAACTGTGGAAATTGCAATCTGTTTGTGCACTACAAATATGAATATTGATTTCAGATACACATAGTCTTCTGAAAATTAAGCTTGAGACTTCAATGCTTATTTTCTCTACCCAAAGCAGATTTACTGTAACAGTTACTCCTGCCAGCCCAGTGAGCACTCCCAGTTTCCTTTGATAATACATTTTTACACTCACCTTTGTATGGCTAGGTAAAGCTTTATTTAAATTCACACTGTTTGTGAGGAATACAGAATTATCACACTGCTTCTCTGCAGTTTAAACTGGCATTTATAGCTAAAGCCTTCAAAGGAGAAATGGTGTGCTGTATTATGAGCAAAGCCCCCACATCTGTCATTGTCTTACAAAAAATAATCTAACACATGTAACTTTTTCTTCACGGTGGGGAGGCACACTGTGTAAAGTGATACCAGTTCCAAAACCTTCTCCCTCCCCAATGCAACAGAAGTGATGGCTTTAACAAAAACACTGATGTTATTCTTCCGCTGATGACAGCTACACAAATGAAACAAGCTCCTGCTAGAAAATTAATTGCCTTAAAGTTTGCACACCTTATTTATTCCTTGAGGAAGTCTGCAGAAACAGTAAATGAAATTAATGCTTACTCATGGAAAAACACAACAATCCTTACCATTCAATCCCATAGTGCCACATATGTAGATCCATCAAGCACACCTAGAATTTAGCTCCCAATTCAGGTCTGTATGCACTGCTTGCTCCCTCCACATGAGCTACCTGAAACAACAGGAGTGATAAAGGGTTTTTTGTAACTGCACAGCAGCATGCACACAAGATCCACAAGCACCACAAGACAAACTGTGGCAGGCAGCCAGGAGCCCGAGCTGCACAGCTGAGCTGTATTTGCATGGGATTTCAATCACAGATAAAGGCTTTATTTGTTAGTGCTGTTACTGTACAGAATACATCAACAGAATCTCAGTGTGTCACACAGCTATAGTTTCCTACAGATGAGCTGCTAAAGTGCATAACAAACAACCTGGACCAAGCGCAAAGATGCAAGTTTGAAGCAGCAGGCACCACGGTCACTATTATGCCTGGAACCAAAAGCTCAGAGAGGCCACAGACTGCTTTATTCTTTACTCAGTCTCCATGCTCCTTTTAAAGGCAGTTTAATAGGTAGGTAGCTGCAAACTGAGCTTAACTTCTACAGAAGCACAGGAGGTGGGCAGTGCAGAGGAAGATCCTGCAGGCAGAAGGGTGGCACTGCAGAAGAGTACAAACTCTTTAGCTGCATGTACTCCTCAAGCATTTTTAATATAACTGTTAGAGATGGAAGGTGATCTTCATTTCCTTGCCACATGGAAGAACTTTCCAGAAACTTACAGCTAGCAGCTGAGTCTTCTCATATTTGTTTTCAAGCTATATTAATGGATTCTAGTAAGTACGAAGAAACTGCCATTGATGTTTTGAAGGGGAAGACAGAAACACAGGATGCTGCAAGCATTCTCTAGTAAGAACAGGTAGAATTGGTTCTAATATTGTTTCTTTATTTCACCACACATCTGAATTTCCCCAGTCATCCCTTTCTTGTAACAGGCAATTCTAATTCTACTTAATCTCTAATTACTTATCTTTAACATCACCAGTCTTTCGTATCAGATGACAAAACATCTGTAGCATTTATCAGTTTTGCTGCTGTGCTTTGGTTAGAGAATCACATCACACGCTGCATTAAGCTACAAAGAAAAATGTGTTTCTATATTCTTATTTAGCAGTCAGAGAGGCCAAATGTAATTTGATGATCACCGTGCTGCTTTCGGGGAGGAAAAATAAAAAAAAAAACAAACTACACACACACACCAAAAAAAAAAAATCAAACCAAAAAAACCCCACAGCTGTGCTAATACAAGCTATATTTAGCACTGCACAAATAAAAGAATAAAAGCCATTACTGCTCTCTCCCACCATGCTACTGGCAGTACCAAACAGAACGCCTGACAGCTTTCCAGGGGGCTTTAGCAGCTGCCACTACTGCTGACGTACTGCAGATAACAGATTTAGACTGAAGCATATTTGTGCTTTCTCACCATCCAGTTTCAGAGAAGTTAAGCAAGAAGACAAGAACTACAACTGCCTTTCCAAGATACTGCTCTGTAAAGAGATGCAGTGTCTATCCTGAAGCTTGCTTTCCTGTTAAGCATTTGTTGGTACTAAAAAGAGGAAACAAAGTAGTCCTAAAAACACATTATCAAACATAGTAGGAAATAAGGTATTCGGCTGCAGCCCTAAATTAAGTTTTAATCAGTCATAATGTTGTAGAAACTAGGAATCAGAATACAAATAAACGCCCATAAAATAAATTGGCAAATTAAAATCTGAAAACTTTCTTTTGAAAAAGTAAATTCATAAAGCAAATCTGCCAGTTATTCATAAAAGTTGATCTATTTACACAAGTGCAAAGACCCCTTGTAAAATTATAATCGAGAAAGGTTGTTTTATTGCTCAACATAATCTTACAATTTAGAAAATGTCTGTTCTGGTACTTCACTGATAGCTATAACTATTCCCATTAAAAGTCTGAAATCTCAGGGTTCTTTTTCCTTACCCAGTTGTACTTCACCCATAAGAAATTAAATGTTTGTCTGTGTACAGTGCCTCTCTTCATCCTTATAACAGCTAGCTAAATTCACTTAAGATGTTTTTTTCTTGTTTGTTTTGAAGTAGCAGTTTGTTCAACTTAGGCAACTTCCTTCCCAATTCCCCACGGAGCTCTTGGCCTATCCTGACAGGACAGGAGAGAGGGAAGGTCCAGACAGGCAGCAGTAACCGTAAGCATCTTTGTTCTGAGTGAAAAAGGAAAACATAGATCACATCTAAATAAAGGGGTCAGAAGACTCAAGCCCAAATTAAAGAAAAAATAATAATTAAACCCAAACATGCAGCATTTTTAATTTTAAAGAAGTCACTTAGTCATTATATTACAGAGCAGAGGATTTTCCCAGTTAAATATGTCACTATTTTAAGTTCAGCTGATTCTGGAAACTGTAGTACACTGTAAGAAAGAATAGTGCTAATAGTAAAAAAACCATTCAGTTTCCACAGCTTGTGATGGTCATGAACATGCTCTGAGTTGAGAAACATTAGGCTGCCTGAGCTAACAGATCCAGCCCCGATACTTGTAAGCTAAAATCCCTAAAACCAACAGCATTTCAAATAGGGAAACTGGAGCCCAACTGCTTAAACTCTCCCTACAGCAGATATGTTGTGTTCGCTTTTATCAGCAAGGAAATGGTTACTTCTGAAGTTGAAACCATTGTACTTCAGAGTTAATTCAGTATTGAATTGCAATGAAAAGCATGAACACTTCACCGTCGTCTTTGATCTTTTGTTTCAGTCTGTCAGCTCCTATAGACATGACTGAATTGTTTCTACTTAACACCAGTTCTTAAGGATGTTCAGGAAAGCACAAAAGGAACAGAAAGGTTTTATATCACATAATAATACAAAACTTGAGGTTTGACTACATGAGAGGTTAAGAAAAAATGACAGAGTAAGTTTAAAGGCAACTAAGTTCCCTACAGAGGTCGGAAGGAGGGAAATGTTAATACAGACTTTTCCTCAGTCTAAACCTGATTTGAAAGTATCTCAAAAAGCGAGAAATGTTCTCATCTGTAGATAAATTCTAGATTTTAAAACATATTACCTGAAATACAATTTTTTGAAGAAAAATGTACAAAAAGTAGTCAATAATATTGCTTAAAATTGTAAAAATTTTCATCTCTATTGTATTAAAAACATTCGTCAGATGCAACAATGGACACTAAATGTTCCAAAAAAAATAAAACTTTGTGATCAATGACAGCACTAATAATGGTCACTGTAATGAATAAATTCCTGTTTGTTAATCAAATCTTGCTTGCTTAGGAGTTACTTGCTTAGAGTTACTTGCTTGCTTAATAGTTACTGGAAAATTACGGTGCTTTGACATGTTGCTTATAGACCGTGGGTATCCGTTAAAGTAAATGATGTATGGGGAAGGCGATAAGGAGCCTTCCTCCCCACACCCACTGGGAGACAGAATGAGACCCCTTATCTACAGGTCACACAGACGCAGAGGATGCCAGGAGGTGACATGTATATCGGATGAAGAAGCGTATAAAAACAGTGACTTTGGGGAAGTGGGGTGCATGCCATTGGCGGAACGGAGACTCCCCGGCCGCCCAGCGCTGTTTTGCTTGCTGTCGCTTGCTCAATAAACCGATTTGATTCATTGGTCTGGCTCTTGTCAAATTATCTGAGCCACATTTATAACAATTTTGGTGCTGTGACTCTGAGAGAGGCAATCTGGTGCGAAGCCCCACACAGGGGAGTTGCCCCGCTGTATAGTGGCCCTTGCTTGGGTGCTATCTCACCATAGCCTCTACTGACGAATCCTAAATTCGACAGCAAGCAAAAGAAAGCCGGCAACCCTGTAATCTTTGTGCATGAAGCTCCGAAGACGGAGGAGTGCGTAAGTATAGGCCGGTTACCCGTTCAGTTGGGGTTGGGTATCCTGGAGTGTGCCTGTGTGAGACATCCAATTAAGGACGAAGCAAGTGCAGACCCCTTAGCAGTGCAGTTCCCATCTCCCGCGAGGGACTGGGCCACGAACAGGGGGCAAAAAGACTGTGTGTGTGTGAGAAGGCACTCTGGAAGACGGGACAGAAGAAAAGCAAGCCTTCTGATTCCACGGGGGGGTCAGAGCTTAAGGCTAAGCTACCCCAGATACCACTGGATAGTCCGTTGGGATTGATGATTAAATATTGGGATGACTACCCTTCTAGGCGGGGTAAGGACAAAGTAAAACTGGTACATTATTGTATGGAAGTTTGGGGAGGTAGGCAGATTAGAGGTGATCATTTATATTGGCCCATATTTGGGTCCTTTAAGGACTGGATCTGCCAGTCTTTAAATATTTACATTAACACAAAGGAACCATTCAGTTTGGAGGAAAGCGAGTATGCAAGTTTATGGATAGGGTCCGAGACTAGGACAAAAAAGAAGAAGACGCGGAGTGAGGATGAAATCCCCATTTCGCCTCCCCTTTATATACCACCACCACTGCCGCCGCAGCCCTCCCCTCCTCCAAGAGCTCCAAACTACCCCTAGTTCCCCCGAGGATAACAGGCGGGTGACCCGGAGCCAAAGTAGGGCAAGGACAAGCAGGGGTAATCTATATCCCCTCCGAGAGGTTGCAATGGGAGGAGCGCAACCTGGTATGGTATATGTCTCTGTCCCTTTAAACTCAGGAGACGTTAGAGACTTTAAGAAGGAAATGGGTAACTTATTAGAGGATCCCCTGGGAGTTGCAGAACAAGTAGACCAGTTTTGGGGGCCCAACGTTTGCACCTGGGATGAACTGCAAGCCATATTGGGTATTTTGTTCACGGCAGAAGAAAGGGATATGATCCCGAGGGCCGGAAGGCAGATTTGGGACCAGCAACATCAGCAAGGTCCCGCAGCAGATGTTAAGTGGCCCCTCCAGAGACCTAATTGGAATAATCAAAATGAAATGGATAGAGGCCATATATGCGGGACTCAAGGACTATCATAGTTCAGGAGATAAGAGAATCGGTCCCTAGGGTACAAATATTAGCAAAGCCTTCAGTGAACACCAGAAGAAGGACGAAACCCCTGCGGAATGGTTAGAGAGACTTAGAAAAAATCTCCAACTTTATTCAGGGCTAGATCCTAGTACTCCAGTAGGGCAAGCCTTACTAAAAACACAATTTGTA